TTTTTTCTTTTTCTTTCTTTTTGAGCTCTTGTTGCCCAGGCTGGAGTGCAGTGGCATGATCTTGGCTCACTGCAACCTCTGCCTCCTGGGTTCAAGTGCTTCTCCTGCCTCAGCTTCCCGAGTAGCTGGGATTACAGGCATGCGCCACCACACCTGGCTCATTCTGTATTTTTAGTAGAGATGGAGTTTCTCCATGTTGGTCAGACTGGTCTGGAGCTCCCGACCTCAGGTGATCCGCCCATCTTGGCCTCCGAAAGTGCTGGGATTACAGGCATGAGCCACCGTGCCCAGCCAGAGCTGATTTTCTTATAACTGCACATTCTTTTTTTTTTTCTTTTTTCTTGCTATGTTGTCCAGGCTGGTCTCAGACTCCTGGCCTCAACCGATCCTCCCGCCTCAGCCTCCTGACAAGCTGGGAATACAGGTGCGCACCACCAGGCGGCTGCGCGTCCTTGCAAGTGGGAGCTGAGCCAAGTTATTTTCCCTGCTCTGTGACCCTGCTTCCCTCTCTGCCGGCTAAGGGAAGAGATGCCTGCTGCCTTCCAAGTTGGGCATTCAGCTTTGTCATCATAATTACTGGTAATAATAATAACTGCCAATGTAAACCCCAGTCCTACCACTGAAACTCGCTGAACAGCTTAGACTCCGGCTCTTCCCTTTGAGAAATAGGCGTAATCATGTCCCGTGGTCTCCTAGGGCGTCAGAGACAAGCAAGACTGCATGCAAGGGTTTTTCCACGAAAAAGAAAGCATTAAACGTGTGACTTGTATGACAACGGTAGACAGGGCATGGGGTGACCAGGAGTGAGAGGAGGAGGGAGAGCGGCAGGAGGGAGGAGGGAGGAGAGGGAAGGGGAAGGAACAGGAGGGAAAGAGGGTTGTACCCGCCAGGGCTGGACCCAGCCTGGGCCGTCCCACACCTAGCGCTCGCGGCAGCTCAGCTACTCGCGGCCGCCTCTCCCAGGGCAACGAGGCGCTGGGATGCCCCCCGCAACCCCGCATCTGAGAATATCCGGGCTGCCGGTTGCCGGGAGGTGAACCGAGGTAAACTCGCCGCGCGCGGGACACAGTGTACATAGTAACTGGCCCTGAGTAAACGTTCGTCATATTCTCACGAGCTGCTCTGGGGACTGTCCTACTGGCTAGCAGGAAAAGGAGATCGGCTCTCTCTGCTGCCCGTGGAAAACGAGAAGGTCGCCACACGTCCTGCTTTCGGGGAAACTAAAGCCCCCGCCCCAGCCACAGCCCAGGCCCCCCGCAAGGCCGGTGACAAGGGACCGGAGGAGCTGGAGGAAGGCGCGCGCGTGCGCGCGCGGCGAGTCACCCCCACCACCCCCGCCCCGGCCCCCGCGCGCCCCCGTCCCGGCCCCCGCCTCGTCCCGGTCTCGGGCGCCTGCGCCGCCGTGCGCGCGCCCTAACAGAGCAGGAGGGTGCGAGGCGGGGCGCGCGGGGCCGGGAGCAGGCGCGGCACCGGCAGCCTCCCTGGGCCCGGACACCGCCCTCGTCCCCGCCTAGGCGGCCGCTCCCGCCGGCGTCGAGGGCGTGGCGGCGAGACTGTTGCAGCCGGTCGCTCCTGGCTCTGCCCTCTGCCCAGCCCGCCGCCCACCAGGCTCCCGGAGGCCCCGCAGCTCGCCGCGCCCGGCTCCCCGCAGCCCCGTCGAGCCGCCCGGGCCCGTCCGTCGCCCTCCCCGCTCCGGTCTTGCGGCGCCGGGGCGTGCAGGTGAGGGCCCTGGGCGCCCGGCCTCTCCGGCAGGTTTGCACCCAGCGCCGGGCGGGGGTGGGGCGCGGGGCGGGAGCAGGGGCGTGAAAAGTTAAAAAAAAAAAAAAAAAGGAAGAAGCCACCTAGAGAAGCCCGGGAGGGAGGGCGCCCAGAGCCGCGGGACCCGGAGATGCTGCCGCGCGCGACCTCACCTCCCGCCGCACCCGTCTCGCGCTCGGAGTCTAGTCTGGCAGCCTCGGGGGTGGTGTCCTGGAAAACAAAACAAAAATGTTTTCTCTTCTCCACCAACGATTTTCTCTCAGCAAATGTTTGACTTTTTGAAAAGGCGACAGGCCCAGCCTGTCCCTGAAGGCAGGAGCGGTGCAGGGGCGCCTGGAAGGTGGAAGCCCCCCTGTCTTTCCCCCTCTTCCCCGCTTCCCCCACGGTGCCTAGGTCACCATCGCTTTAGTGACTCCCTAACTTCTTGAAACTTGTCTGTCTGCTTCTGTCCGTCCCCTGGACAGGTAGGGCAGCAGTGATCTGTGCCAGGTTGATTCGTCCGGCTTCCGTGCAAAGTCTGATCATCTCCTGTAGAGATTAGGATTTCAGTGTAGGAAGCAATCCAGATCCGTGTTTCAGATACAAACAAGGATTATTTAAAGTGATGTTTTCCTGTAGTGCTGAAAGCCAAACATACTCGCTTCCACTTGTTGGAAGGCACCGAGTAACGCCACATTTATTTTAACTTTTCATAGAAGTCTCTGATGTACTATTTGGCAAAAGAAGCAATTGACTTATCTGTAGCTGTGATTACATAATATGTAATTTAAGAATATTTCATTGGCTTTGGTTCAATATCTTAAATTCTGTAAACACATAATACAGGAGCTAGATGTGCATCACACAAATGTGTTCTTTTTGGTGGGGATTAAAATTGATCTAGAAATGAGCTTTCCATGCAGAAAGACTGTGAAAAGCCTGAAAACAGTCTTTTCTTTAGCCAGGTCATCAGCTTTACATTTTACTGCATTGGAAAGCCTTGCCTTTTCTTCTTCTCTTTTTTCCTTTCTTCTTTTTGAGACAAGGTCTCACTCTGTCACCCAGGCTGGAGTGCTGTGGTGCAAACACAGCTCACTGCAGCTTCAACTTCCCAGAATCAAGCGATCCTCCGACCTCTCTGCCTCCCGAGTAGCTGGGACTACAGGAGTGCACCATGTATTACCATGTATTTTTTTGTAGAGGGGGTTTCGCCATGTTGCCCAGGCTGGCCTCAAACTCTGGAGCTCTGGCAGTCTGCCTGCCTCTGCCTCCCAAAGTGCTGGGATGACAGGCATGAGCCACCGCACCCGTCCAGGTGTTCTTTGTTTTTTTAACTTAGTTGAAATTTATAATTTAGAGGTTTAAAAAAGGAACTTAGTTGCCCAAAGCACCTGTGAGTGTTTATTTTCTATATTTTATGCATTTTATTTTGTTTATTTTATAAATACAAAAAAGCCAAGTTATTTTTCCCAAGGTTATTCAGCAGGGTACTTGTAGAGCTGAAAACGGAGCACTTACTTACTTCCAGTTTGTCCAGTAGCATTTTGAACACATAAAAAAAGTAAAAAGTGCATCTAGCTAAGATATTGAAATGTTTCACCAAGCTGGGAAGCCTATTAATTTGAAAAAAGTATTATTATTTTAATCCTGGAGGAGAAATAATTTACCTTTTCCCAATCAGAACAAAAAATGCAAGATCAATTCCATGTGCTTGACATTTTGCCTTGATAGATGACTTTTGTCACAGGCTTGTTGTGGCAGAGCAGATGGCCATGCTCCCTGGAGTTTTTCCACTTATTTGATATTTCCATGAAGAAACAATTTGCCAGAAGCCAGCTGCAGTTACAGTTGTACTGGAGATGATGAGAAACCTGGATTAGCATAGACCTTTGCTTACAGGAGCTGGAGGATTTTGGTTCGGCCCTTTCTGCTGGGCCAGTCAAGATTTCCCTGGACTGGCAAACTGAGGAACAGTCTTGTGATAGTTGGAGCGGCACAAAGTTAGCAACACCTCCAGTTACACCACGTAGAACGAATGTACTTGTGTAATTTTTTTCTTTGCCGTAGTGAAACTGAGTTTACCTTTTAAGTACAAGCTGAGCTACTTTATAAAATCTCCTTACCTATATCTTTCTGTTCAGATTTAACTGCACTTATTAACAGCTTCTTTTAAAAAGAAAATTATAAAATGGTTGACAATGTTAATTCAAACTCTATTAAAAAACCCTCATGGCTTGTCTTTAGCAAGAGAACCATCCTCAGAATGATAATGTCTTTGCTACTGTATGCTTTGCATGACAGCATAACATTCTGTAAGGTTTATAAAAAGGCACCACAGCCTTTTTACATCTGGACAGGCTTTTATTCTGGAGCCATATTACTGCCTCCAGTGGTTGTTCTGTAGCTCACTTTTTAAAAATTATTTATTTTCTTTTCCCTTTTCACAGGTGTTTATTGACTCATCTGCTACTGAATAGTTTTCATGAAATGATACAAAGTGTTTTATTTTTGTTGCCTTTTTGCAGCTTGGAACTAGATCCTTTGGGAATGAGTTTTTCTCATTTTATTGTTTTAGTATCAGTTCCACCAATGGTTCTGATACTGTTGGGGTCCTTTCATCTCAACAATGCATTGACATAGATCGTGCCTATGTAAAAATAGTTATTGAGCACTAACTATATGCAAAGCATTCTTCTGAGCTCTTAGCATGGATTTCCTAATTTAATCCTCCTAACATCCTTATTGGGTAAGGATTATTATTAGCCCTATTTTACAGTTGAGGAAACAGAAGCAAAGAGACAACATAATTTACATAAAGTACTGGAGGAACCAGAGTTCAGATATAAAGTCTGATTATGGAGCTTAAATCTTTCTAGGGTATATGTAAGGACTGTTCAGATGCATTTACAGTTACCGTGGTGTTTCAGCAATCCATCCTTTTTAAGCTTATCAAATATACAGTGATATATAAGTGAAGAAAATGTAGCAATACTATAAAGATTATTAAAATATCTTGGGTCAGGCATGGTGATTTACACCACTACTCCCAGTGATTTGTGAAGCTGAGGCAGGAGGATCATTTGAGGCTAGGAATTCAAGACCAGCCTGGGCAACATAGGGAAGATGGCTTGAGGCCAAGAATTTGAGATCAGCCTGGGGAATATAGTGAAATCCCATCTCTACAAAAAATTAGCCAGGCATGACAACGTGTACCCATTGTCTTACCTACTTGGAAGGCTGAGGCAGGCAGATCACTTAAACCCAACAGTTTGAGGTTGCAGTGAGCTATGACCATACCACTGCATTCTAGCCTGGGTGACAGAGACCCTGTCTCTAAAATAGAGAAAAGAAAGAAACAAATATAGATATCTTGGGACAAAAGACAAATAATTTACAATAAAAAAAAATTAAAGGACTGGGCGCAGTGGCTCACGCCTGTAATCCCAGCACTTTGGAGGGCCAAGGCAGGTAGATCATGAGGTCAGGAGTTCAAGACCAGCCTGGCCAAGATGGTGAAACCCCATCTGTACTAAAATACAAAAAAAAAAATTAGCCAGGCATGGTGGTGGGCACCCTCAGCTCCTCGGGAGGCCGAGGCAGAGAATTGCTTGAATCTGGGAGGTAGAGGTTGTAGTGAGCCGAGATTGCTCCACTGCACTCCAGCCTGGGTGACAGAGTAATACTCTGTCTCCAAAAAAAAAAGAAGGAAAATAACTAAGACATTATTAGGATAACTGACAAAATTTGAATCCAGATTATGCATTTGATAAATTATGCATTAGATAATAGTATTAAATTGATGTTAAATTTTCTGTTTATGGTAATTATTCTGTGGGTTATGTAAGAAAATGATCTTGTTCTTATACACTGAAGTATTTGGAAGTAAAGGGGGTATGCTCCATCTTTCAATGGCTCAAGAAAATACACATCTATAAAAATAGAGAAAGATAAAGCAGATGGGCAAAACCGAAGGAATCTGTGACTCTGGGTAAAGGATACAGTGTACCCGAGTTCCTTGTGCTATTCTTATAACTTCTGTTTGAAGTTATATATAAACGGCACTCAAAATTGAAGGTAGAAAACAGGAAATGAAGGTGTAACATTCTAAGAATTTTTTTTTTAAGTCAGGTGAAGGATTATTTCCTGTGCTCTGTTTTTTAAAATCTTTTTATGGGTTAGAGGAGGGAACTTGAAACAAAGAAAAAAATCTTACCCAGAGTAAGTTGACTTTCTCAAATTTCAAAATCTAGTCAGTCAGAGCTCCCCAACTTGCCAGCCACCAAAAAAGTGGGCACAGTGTTTTCTTTACCTCTTTTTAATGGGTTAGGAATAGGGATAAAAACATTAGTGCCTCTAAGAGATAAGATATAAAGACAGCCCACTTTTAGAGATACCAAAAGTTAAAATGCATTTGGTTTCATCATTTCCCTGCCTAAAAACCCACAATGGCATGCTGATATTGACATGGCATTGACATGGTTTTTATGGCAAAACTCTGTACCCGTTCTTTCTTTGCAACCTGGCCCATACCTGCCTTTCTGACTGTCTCATGCGACCCCCACCAAACACCTTGCACCCCAGCGAGGCCAGATAACGTGAACTTTGTGCATGCTGGTCCTACTGTCTTCCTGCCTTTGTTCATGTCCTGCTGGCTTTGCGTGGAATGTTCCCCATTCTTTTCCTGCTGAAATTCTGTTCATCCTTGAAGTCTCATCACCTCCTTTGGGAAGCTGTCTCCAGTCCTATGCAGAATTCAGTGTATATTTGTCTGTGCTGATATATCAGTAGGGAAACCACAATGTTACCTGCTTTTATTTAGCCACCTTTATTAAGCATACACTGTGAGCGGGAAACTGCCAGTACCTGGGACTTCACAGATACACACTGGTAGCTAGAAGTGATTTGCCAATAAATTATCACAATACAAGTGTATGACAGAAAAATGAATCAGGCGCTGTAAGAGCTACAAAGTCCACCCAACA